AAAATATTTAGGATTCAAGATTTCAATTGCGGAATTGAAACTCAAGACTTGAAAGTAACTGCAATAAAGAATTATCCACTGCTCAACACTGCCAAAAACTCTCTTCTTTCTTAGGCACGTGTAGCTATTATAGAACATTTATAAAAGACTTCGCTCAAATAGCGGAACCGCTCTTACAATCGGAAAGAAAAAAAGCCAGATTTTCGTGGTCAGCTGAGGCAAACACTGCGTCTGAAAGACTAAAAGCTGCACTAATTCAAGCGCCGGTCTTAAAATTCCCAGAGGGGGATGAAAATCTCGAAATTTCGGCTGATGCTTCGGATTCTGCTGTAGGTGCAGTTTTGGCCCAGAATAAGCAGCCCATGGTGCATTTTTCAAAAACATTGACTCAAACGCAAAGAAGTTATACTGCAACGGAAAGAGAAACTTTGGCCATTTTTGTAGCAGTACAGAAATTCAGAGTTTATTTTGGTAAGGCACCGATAGTCATGTATTTAGATCACACCGCCGTGGGGCGATTATATTCCGGAAAAAGCTTCAGTCCACGACTCATAAGATGGGCAATGAAGTTGCAAAAATTCAACTTAACAGTTAAACACACACCGGGAAAGGAAAATATCATGGCAGACACATTAACACAAATAAAATTAGACAAAAAGGAAAACGAATAAAATGCTCCATATTAACATCAAAAGTATTAGATTCCAGAAAAACAATTATTTCCGAGTTAAAAAAGGATCCAGAATATAGGTATATTTATGCATACTTGCAAGACCCGGATAATTTCGAACATCTGGATATCGTGGCTATAAGCAATAGAGCAGCAAACTATGAAATAGTCGATAAACTATTATTTTACACTAAACAACAAATGAGAATAGTGAAATAAGGCCAGTCATTCCAGCCGGGTTGCAACTCAGTATTTTAAAGGAATTGCATGACATGGTAACAGCTGGACACCAAGGTATTTGTAAAACTGTACAAAGAGTGCGCGAGGTGGTTTTTTTTCCCGCAACTTCAAAGAGTAGTAACCGAGTATGTCAGGTCCTGCCATATATGCCAGTTAGTTAACGATGTAAATTATAGTCCGGCCGGGTATCTAAATAGTATAAGAGCTACTTTTCCTTATGAATTAATTGGAATAAATCTACTGGGCCTATTTCCAAAAAGAGAAAGTAATAGAAATAGATATTTACTAGTGATAGTAGACCATTTTTCAAAATGATTAGAAATAGTCCCCCTTAAAAGAGCCTCAGCGAAAATTGTAGCATTCTTTTCTAAATAAATACGTTTTAAAATATGGTGCACCACTTAGGGTAATATCAGATAATGGCCTCCCATTCATTGGTTAAATTTCAAGGAACTACGTGCAGGGCTTGGCATCCACCACCTTAAGATGGTCCCGTACAGATCACAGTCAAATATTGCCAAGCACGTAAACAGAAACATAGTTAAAATCATTCAGAGCTATGTAAAAACGTATCACCGATGCTGCGATGACTGTGTAAATGAAATGGCGTATGTATGCCCTCAGAACGGCCAAGCATGATACCACGGGAAAGGCCCCTTGTAATCTCTTACTGGGGAGGAAGATAATTATTTTTTGTCCAGAAAAGGGAGGCAGAATTTAATCAAAAAGACATCCAAAAATTAACTAATGATGCAATCAAAAATTCAGATGTAGCTAGAGAAAAACAGTCGCTCTACTCTAATAAGAAAAGAAGATATTTTAATTTTAAACCTGGGGATAAAGTACTGAAAAGAAAGCATGCATTGTCTTGCGCCTCACTCGAAAAAGGGTCAAAATTTTTCCCGAGATTTAAAGGCCCCTATGTGATTCAATGTATTTGTGGATCAGTTTTATATTTAAAAGGAAGCAAAGAAGGCAATATCACTGCTAATGTGGTTCAAGTGAAAAAATACTATGATCGTAACGAGATGTCTATTTTTAAAGATCATTTTCAGGAAACTTCAAACATAGGAGAAGGGCCCTTAACAGCACAAATCGTTCTTCCAGGAACCAAAAGGAAAGAAGGCAGGGTCTTGGAGCCGGATGGAAAGAAGCGTCGACTTCAAGAGCTTAAATGTATGAACAAATGCTAAATAGAAAAGCCCCATAAGAGAAATAAGGTCCTGAGAAAAGAAGGGGAAACTAGACTCCGCACAAGATCGTCAAGCAGGCAAATGGAGAGGAAAAAGCAAATGAGACACCAGAACTTATGACACCAGCCACTAAGGAAGGAAGGAAGGCAAGAATAAATTAGCACCTCAAGTTCCACATAGGAAACGTCCATTAGACGAGGAGCCGTTAAACAGAAGAAAATACCTAAAAAACGGAGATCCCACACTCCAAGGAGGTTCTTCGGCCACAACTGGGAAGCGTCCAGCGCACACAGAAGTAGAACATAGCCGAAAGAAACCAGCATGGGACCGAGGCATCAAAAGAAAACAGCCAGCAATGGAAACAGTCAGAGTTCCAGAGGATCAGCGTAAGACGCCTAAATCAAGTTCTATTGTGGGAAGATTTCATCAAAAAGAAAATGGCAGATTACGCCAAACAAAAGATAAGTCAAAATTATTCTATTTAAATTTATTTTTAAATCTAGTACGAAGTTGGTTGAAAATATTGATGTCAGTTTTGCCTCGAAAAGAGGACAAGATTTGTTTAATTTAGCAAGAAGCTTACAATTTTTTTACTTAGTAAGAGTTTACAATTTTGTATTTAACAAAAAGCTTACAATTTTGTGTTTGTAAAAATAAATAAATAAATAAATAAAAAGAGTTGTTTTTGCATGATGCAAGTAATTTAAAGTTGTTCTATTGAGCAAGTAGCTTTAAATGTTTATAAGTAAGAAAGTTTAGCAAATAATCTTCGCTATGTTAGAATGAAATGTTAACTTTGGTCATAGAAACTGTTGTAGGAAAATGTTTGTATGGTATCAAGAAAATAAACTTCGTTACTCAAAGTGTTAGAAATTCGTGCATGTAGTTAATCTATGCTTATTTTTCAGTGGAGTAAAGTAAGACATTTATTATGTAAAAATGTTTGAATTCTGAATTACTTAAAGTATTTTGTATGCTTGAAATTGTGTTTCGAATGAAAGAGTAGTCTATGTTACTGATGATAAGTACTAAAAAGAAGTTAAGATAATTTGAGAATAAATGTAATTTAAAAGGTTACGCTCTCGAGACAACACTAAGTTAATTTTCACTAGCGTTAGCACATCAGGCTGAGATTTGATTGTAAGGTGTCTGTCTAGGTCTAGTTGCTTTAATTTTAACAAGTAAATGTGGGGTCGTAAGTGTTGTACTCATTTTATATAAAGCATGCTCGCATTTTACAGTACACAATGCTGGAGAGCAAGGAGGAGTATAAGGTATATATAAGCACGCACTAAACTTTTATCCTTCACAGATCAAGAATTGCTAAAGAGAGAAGATATTGTAATTATGTGCCACATTTCTCCATCTGTTAAGCTTTTAAAGCCTTGTTATACGATAGTTAAATTCTGGCAAGGGAAATTGTAGGGTTTTACTTATTTTGCATAACAAATTTATTTTAAATTTTCCTGTTCTCAACTTCCCCTCACATTATCTCGCCAGGATGTTAAGTGAAGTGCTATTTAAACGTGTGATTATCTCAGTTTATTCAGAGCATGTTCGCTAGCCAAGCGTACATTTTGTTGTTCTTTCGCAGTCATGCTAGTAAGACTCTTGGCCTTATCAATTTAGTAGCACACTGGTTAGATTTCTGTGAGTATACCCTTTAGGTGAAATTTTGAAGTGTGCTCTTGCACTCGTTTACTTTTCAGATTTGATTTGTATTATAGTCTACATTTAGTTACCGCCGCAAGTGAACGGTGTTTTGTAACGCACGAAGTCAGTGCTTTTCTGTTAAATTGGTTTGATTTAATAAAGAGTTATTTTGCACCCTTCTTCTGATATTTAATTCTAATGGTATTTAATTCACGCCTGTGCGAAAATTCGCTAGGTTCATTGTAGAGTCTAAGTTAGTGTATGTGGAAAAGTAAAGATAGGTCTTACAAATTAAGCAAGAAAAAGTATAGAAAATGGTTACAAAATAGCAAAACTTGAATAAAAGTAGTTTTGTATATTCTTAAACTAAAACTAACTACTTAACAAAAATACTGAGAGCTATCCCTCCTGAAACTATAAAATCCCCCCCTCCACACAAGGAATTTTCCTCTGATTGAGAACCCCTGACCCAGGATTAGTCACCTACTACCTTGGCATAAATATCAAATAATCTAAAGATGGTGACATTGTCATAACCAAAAGAACAAAATCAAAGGAATAGTTCAAAGATTCAGACTTCAAGATTAAACAAGAACATAAGTTCCAATGGGAATAAACTACTGGAAAATGAAGACAATCTTCTAGAAGATAATACAGAATATAGGAAGTAGCAGGGGCATTACTATACATTGCAACGATCAGTTGACCTAACATAGCAAGTTTTGTGTATATATTGAGTAGTAGAAATGAAAAAACAAGAAAAGCAGATAGGAATGCTGTCAAAAAAACAGTTCGATACTTGAACTAAAGACTTGAAGTTGGTCTTTAACAAAATTCAAAATCCTATAGTAACTGCATATTCAGATGCAGATTTGGGAAATGAAAAAACAAACAGAAAATCCATTAGTGGACACATATTCATACTAGGAAACAACTGCATTTAATACAGCAGCAAAAGGAAAAACTGCATAGCATAATTGTCAACTAAAGCAAGGTACATTGCAGTGGCAAATACAGCTCAAGAAGATTATATGTAGTACTTCAAGATTTTGGACCAGAACAAAATCTAGCTATTACTTTCTATGAGATAATAAATCCTGCATCAAACTTTCACAATCAGAGAAAATTAGCTCCAAAACAAAACATACAGATATCAGTAATCTTGAAATTACTGATATGAAAATTACTATTCTAAAGCTCATTTTAAGGAAGGGAAGAAGGTTATTAAAATATGCAACACTTACCTGCTTTCAATATCTCTTTGGTGTCCTTTTTATTTAAATTAGAGTGTTCAGTTACAACAAATCCCAAAGATTCAAAATCATGCTTGAGTCTTTTGGCATCTAAATTTGAGCCATTTCGGTTCAAACTTTTGTCTTTAAATTCCTGCAAAGAAGGGGGGGGGAATGCATAAAATTCAACAGTTGAAAAAATACACATTCAGTTGTTGTTGTACATGTTGTTACATTTGCACAGTTCGTTGCTTTATTTACTTGATAATTAAATCAAGAAAAGTGATCTTTAAAAATATGTATATCTCTGATTTTGCAGTTTGACACAAGAAATGTCTTACTTGTAGAAAATTAACATCATGCTTAGCTATAAAAATAATGAAAAACAATTAGCACATCATATTACAAATGAATCTTCTTGTTTGGAAGTTAAATGGGAGAGTCATAATGACCCAACTGTTATTATATACATATTTAAAAAAAAAAAATTTTAAGTTGAAGACTCCAAAATCTAGTTATTCTATATACTATCATATATGAATGAAAGTTGATGGCCGTATTAATCTTTTGAGGCCATTATAGTGGCGATAGAGCTCCCTCTTTGAAAGAACAGAGTTGTCCACTTTAGTGGCCATATCTTCCCCCCCCCATTTTCCAGGCTGAAGGAGTGGGATGAAATGTCAAATTTGACATCCCTGGGGTTTTAATCACTTATCTCTTTCTTTGTGTTAAGAATCCAGGTTTTTCCAATTTTTCCCTTCTCATTCTTGTAGCTACATAACTATAGACCTCACGATAACTGCGTTTGTAAATTGCAAACAGAGCCTTGCACTGCTTTAGAATATTGCATATTTTTGTAAGTTTTGTAGGAATTATTTTGACTTTTTCTAGCAATATGCCAAAAAGGAAAAGAGGGCTGACTGAAGAAGAAATACGAAAACTTCTTCAAGAGCTTGATGATGAAATATATACATAGCGTATTCGGAAACTAAGTACCGTTTCATTCTAGCGCCGTTGCAGCACTGTGGTAGGCGTCCCGCGCATGCCCACTAGTCTTTCTTGTTCACTGACTTTCAATTGTCGCTATTTTGGTTGCTCTATATTGTGTTTTCAGTTTGCCGTGCACATTCAAAATGTTTAAGACAATTAGTTCTCCCGCTGACTGTGAGATTCGTGCCGTGATTAAATTTTTGAACGTGAGAAATGTTAAACCGGCCGAAATTTATCGTCAAGTGATAGAAGTTTACAGTGAATACGCGATTAGTGATGGAATGGTGAGAAAGTGGGTAAGAATGTTTAATGCAGGTCGAACAAATGTCCGCGCTGAGGCTCGGTGTGGCCGGCCTTCTGTTTTCACCGATGATTTGGTAAGGAAAGTTGATGAAGCAATTCATGAGAACACACGCTTAACAATGACAACTCTTTTCAGAGGCATTTCCACAAATTTCCCATACTGTTTTGTTCGAAATTGTGTCTGACCGCTTGAATTATCACAAACTGTGTTCCCGATGGGTTCCAAAAATGCTCACTGATGTTCACAAAGCAAAGCGACTTGGTAGTGCCCTGACATTTCTCACGCGGTACAGTGATGAGGGAGAAAACTTTTTAAACCAAATTGTGACAGGTGATGAAACTTGGGTGTGTCATTTCACAACAGAATCGAAACAACAATCGATGGAGTGGAGACACACTCATTCTCCGAAAAAACAAAAGTTCAAAGTGACAATGTCATCACATAAAATCATGTGCACTGTCTTCTGGGACAGGGAAAGGTGTTTTGCTTACTGAATTTCTTCCCAGAGTGAAACCATTAATGCAGCACGATATTATGAGACTTTAACAAAACTAAGGCGTGCCATTCAAAACAAACGAAGAGGAATGCTCGGTAAAGGAATTGTGTTGCTCCATGACAATGCTCGGCCCCATACTGCTGATGTCACTTAATCGTTAATTCGACAGTTTCATTGGGAGCAGTTCGATCACCTGCCGTACAGCCCGGACTTGGTGCCGCCCGACTATCACTTGTTCCTGCACATGAAGCGCGAGCTTGGTGGCAAGCGCTTTGGATCTGATGATGACACGAAAAATGCTGTGGAGTCGTGGTTATCGAAACTGGCGGGAAGTTTCTTTGACGATGGTATACAAAAACTTGTCACCCGCTATGACAAGTGTTTGATCATTGGCGGAAACTATGTTGAAAAATAGTGTAAGACATGTATTTTCATGTAAAAATAAAATTGGATTCGAAAAAATTGTTTTACTATTTTTTTTTTCAAAATAGTACTTAGTTTCCGAATACACCTTGTACACATACATATATATATCTATATGTTTAATATACGTATGCATAAATCCATACGCAAACACACACATATATAAATGCATATGTGTGCCGGTGTGTGTATATTCTTTATTCCCATTTAAGGGTACGCATGCTTTCCACTTAATGTACATATCTGCACTTATAGCACATTATACAAATACAGACATACATACTACATGGATATGTAGGTATATGTTTCCATAAACAAATATAAATTCGCAGCAGTTTTCCTTACATTCTTATCAGTTTATTCTTAACAGTTCTGTCTTTATTTTCATATATATCTGTTTATGCTGAAGTGACCTTCACACACAGAAGTTTACTGTGATGGTACTGTTGTTCAAACAAATCACGAGAACATAAATATACATTTTGTGTCAAAGAAACAAAAATAGCTTTATAATTTCAGTCTGAAACCTGGAAATTGTAAATATATTAAAGCTAGTAAATCAGTTTAAAAGCTTTTGCCTTTGTAGAAGAGAGGAATTTCTTCATTGTGTTTCTCCCTGGGGCTCATCTCTAGCCATAAATTCCAGATGTACTGATGGCATATTTTAAAAGTACCTCTGTATCAGTGTCTCAATTTCATGGTCAAATAATTTTGAAGTAAGATGCACAGAATGGATTAGAGTAGCATTTGTGAAATGCACTGTCCTTTGAGCTCCAAGAATACAAACAGGATGTAAAAACTCTCAAATAATGTACAAATCATTGTTCTAAGACAACACATGTTCCCCATCTAAATTTCTGAACCTTGTCCTTTTAACTGACTGAATGCCTTTGCCAGGCATATATCTTAGCAACTACGTTCAAGGACAAATTCATGGAGGCATATCTTGGCCACTCAGTTATGAAATAGTTTTGATATGACAGCATAATGACCGAGGTGTTAATGAAACCAATGAATAGATGCCAAATTTTCGATAGAAAAGGGAAAAACAGTTAATTCAACTGTGTCATTATAGAATTCACATGACCTGACAATGAACATGAAGTTTTTTTAGTAACTTCAAGTAAAAATACTCACTAATATATCATAGAATTTAAATTCCACCATATAAAATATGCCGCCATGGTTGATGTCAAAGCTCTTACAAAGACAGTCTGGAGTTGAAACGAACTGGTTTAGACAATAGAGGAAATAGAAAAATTCACATGTGACGACGATTTCAAACAGGAGAGATTTTTGCTGACTGAGCACTTGAAATTATCTGGAAATTTCTCTTAATGAGCTAAATTATGAAGCATAATAAAATATGGAATAATATAATACAGTACAACAACTAATACAACTAATACAATAATATGTACAACAACAAATTGAAGAGAACAACTAATTATCGTGCAACTTTAGACACTATGCATAAGAAACAATTTTCCCTTCAATTTAAAAAACTCTTTGCACTAAGAAATTGCCTAAATTTTGATACCCGAGTGAACATGTTCCCTTAGTGAGGCTGCGAATTTAGTATAAAAAGACAAACGAAATTTTACGTTTTGAATTATGGGTTTGCATACTAAATAATTTGACATTTTTAATGACTTAAAATCATTATTAAAAACTATTAATTATATTATTAATATTTGAAATATATTACTTACTAGTTTTCAATAAACAGTATAAAACGGTACATGATTAAATAATCCTTTTTTTTTACTAGTTTTTAAAACTAGAATATATTATTCCAAAAAACAGTTTTGGAGCTTCTGTTTTATTACGCATATATTTTGGAAAAGAACTGAATTTAAGGAACACTTACATAGTTGGACATTGCAGTACTATCAGTCTACAATAAAATAAAATTATTTTAAATTTAACCAGATATATTCTAATTTGCTGAAAGTTTCCTCCTTAAATAGTGCGTTAGCAAGCAGATTTTTAACAATTATGTAAAATTTAAATTTCATTATGCCTATAGAACATAATTTTAACAGTTCCACTAAACTTTAATTTTTAATCATTTCTATATCGTTAAGCATTTATTTTTTAATTATTCCTTGTATGGAAGAAAGTTCAAAGATATAGCTATATTTGATAATATATACCAAAAGAAATTTAAAATTATAAGGACATTTAACAGTAAAAAATAAATAAATAAATAAATAAAAATAAAAAAGACTGAGATGAAGACTGGTTAAATTTTAAATTGTCCATGAAATAATCAAATAGTTGAAATAATTTTGTGACATAACATTAATATAAAGATATGACAGAAATAATTATTGTAAGCACTTAGTAAAGTCACATAATTTTGCAGTGTAATTTAAAATTCAAACAAAATTTTGTAAAAATGAAAGTAAAACATTATAATTTAAAAAGAATGACATTTCTTCAAAGGAAGTTTGCGCATTTTCTTCTGCGTAACACCCAGTAGTCTCAATCTAGAACAACTGTAATATGAAACTTTCCCTCAATGACGAAAAGCATCTTGAAGTCTGGTCACTAATCTCTATACTTCCCTTCCTTTTGTGACATAGATGCACCTCTTTGAGAATCCATTAAACTAAACACAAGAATCTTTCTTGCAAATTTCTTAAAGGTGATTAACCTTAAAGGAGGTGATTTCTTAAAGGGGAAAGAAGCATTCAGTTTAAGCTACCCCATCCTTTCAAGGCTTTTACAACTGCCAAAGCCCCAGATTCAAAATGTTAAAGGTTTGCCATGTTAAAGGTTTGTCCGTCGCCACTTCCATCACCAAAGGTTTGCTATCATCATTCTTTATCTTTCATGGAAAGTAATTACTGAGTTGAAGACTAGATAACAAAAATATTTGCAAATGGTATTAAAAATGAAAGTTATCAATCTCTACTGTCCCATCTTTCACAGGTTTTAAAAATGCTTCCACCATAAATAGTTAAGCATTCTACATTATCAAATATATAGTAATTTTCTGATTCCAGGAATTTATTTTTAAAATTGAAGTTTCCAATAGCATTTTATAATATGAAAAAGTAGGGATACAATAGTAAAGGCAAAGAAGAAACTATAGCACTTTCCAGAATGAGAAAGAGAAATACTGTACATGCTCGTGTAATGTCCGCGC